GCAAGCCGCACGCTTGAGGTATGGACTAGCGCTGGCTCGGTCCTCAACAACAAACCCGAGAAGGTTCTTTGGATATGTCAAACGGAGATGCAATGCAAATTCGCCTATCCCTGTGCTGTTTGGACCTGAGGGCACCGAAGTATCAAGCGATCAGGCCAAGGCCTGCTTACTTGCGGAACAGTATGCTAGGTCATTTGTTCACGAATATCATTTGCCTAAAATCAAATTGCAAGCAAAGATACCAATAGACTCCTTTCTGATGGACCTTCCTATCTCGGAAGCTCAAGTACTGAAGCTCTTGCGTAACCTGAATCCCCTAAAGCTGCCGGGATAAATGCCCTCCATCTCATACTTTTGTACGAGCTGGCTGAGTTACTGCGTAGACCGATTAAATGTATCTTTGAGGTGTCTCTTCGCAGCTTCTCCCTACCTGCTGACTGGAAATATGCTACCGTGTGCCCTATTACCAAAAAGGTTGATAAGCACTTACTTGAAAATTATAGACCGGTTAGTCTAACAAGCGTACTAGTGAACTTAGTAGAGAAGCTGGTAAGAGATGCTCTGGAGAAGCACTTAGCTAAGTTCAGTTTGCTCAGCCCGTCTCAACATGGGTTCCGCAGAGGCCATTCCTGTTTGACTAACATGTTGGTGGCCCGAGAGTGTTGGGCTGAGGCTGCGGAACAAGGACAGGTGGTGGATGTTTTGTCTCTTGAATTTTATAAAGCCTTTGAAACCGTACCGAATTGCCGTCTTTTGTTTAAACTAGAATCCCACGGCGCCTCAGGCGAAGTATTGAAGTGGATTTCGGCTTTCCTGGAAGGAAGGCAGATGAGCTTTCGAGTCGGTTCCGGACTGCCTTTCAGACAAGCCGTTCTGAGTGGTATTCCTCAGGAGTCGTTACTCGGACCTCTACTGTTTGCATTGCACGTCAATGACCTCCCTGAGAAGCTTAAAGTACCATCCCTTATGTTTGCGGTTGAGTTAAAATTTTGGAATACAGTGAGCGATGCTGTTGGCCCCACGGCTTTGCAAACAGCTCTGGACAAGCTTTGGGAATGGCCAGAATTGTGGCAGCTGCCAATCAATCTTGCAAAGTGTTCGGTCCTGTTCATAGGTTCAAGCACTTCCACATCTCCTTATGCACTTGGAGGAAATGTAGTGCGTCAAGTGCCTGAACAAACCGACTTGGGTATCTCGCTATCCTCTGACTCCAAATTCAGCAAGAACTGGATAAATGCTATTCGCAAGGGTTTTCGAATGCTGTGGATGATACGCAGGTCGTTCGGCATCATAACAACTGAAAGGTTTGTTACATTGTTCTCAGCCTTTTTCAGGCCATACTTGGAGTACTGTGTGAAGGTCTGTCTTCCATGCTTGGTACGCGACAAGATGACAAGATGGTTGACTGCATTCCAGATGCACTCCTTTCTTCTGTCTGTGTGGCTGTCTCTGCTCGTTTCCTTTTTCTCCTGAGTCTCTCACAGGTACGGCGACACGCACCCAAGGAATTGTCCTCCGTTTCGACAACAATACAAGGCACACGGTTCCTCTATCTGGACATGAGCGGAAAATTATCAACCTTTTTACAACTTACTAACCGGACAAATCATTCAATATGTTGCACTGATACAATTCTTCCGCGGCATGAACCACTTAGTTCAATTTACTTAACAGTACCTCTTCCACACATCTCTTGACTGGAGGACTTTCGACTACGGAAGGCACATTCTCCTGCCAATACAAACCTTGAACAATCGGTCATTCTAAGCTCTTCAATCCGCTTTAACCGCTCAAATGGTCGTGGTTTCCCCTATTTCTAATCAATTTCACTACTCACCCCGGAGGATCGGCGATTCTTTCTTCGGAACCTATCCTATCCTTCAAGACTACAACATATTTCAACGTATATTCTTCGAGACTTCACATGGTTCTGCAGATGATCAACGCATCATATCCAGAAAGAATGCTTAGTTCCTGATCTACCACTCTGGCACAGGAGAGGACCTAGGCACGCAATGGCCACTCGCATAAAGCATCAGTCAGCAGAAAAATGGGACGCAACTTGACTGCGAGTAACGGAGCAAAAAAACGTTCAACAAGAAACATAGCCAGTTACAACTTGCCATTCAATGGATTGGCGGCAGTGTTTCAGGACGTGGTGGGTTTTCGCCTGGCAAGCGTTCTCCCTACAAAAGGCCACAAATGTCCGTTTAACAGCACTGCCACGTGGCGAATGTGACTCGCCACCGAATAAAGTCACAGCCCATAACTTCACACTGGCAGCTCAATTAAAATCATCATACTGGATGGCTTGCTCTTCAATTATCTTCCAATGGATCACTCAGGATTCTCAATCTATTATTAGTCGAGGTATGACTGCAATATATGGCAGAGCGTTTATGCCCAAGCAAATGGATCTCGATCCCACTACAACCAAATGGTTTTTTTGCATGTTCACCATTACACAGTTCCAAGCATGGACATATGAACAATTTTCCACGGTCACTACAGTTCCACTAAAATGTCTGTACAGCTGTACATACCTGATCATGCCTCAATTGGCGTGCCTCGCATAGTCGAGAATAAATATTTATTTATTTATTTAGTTCTGAGAGTTGGTACGAAAATGGTACAATGACTGAGGAATCTCTCGTATCCTGATAGGCTGCTCAAGTTGCAGCTGTTTTTGCTGCACTATAGGCGCCCTCGGGGAGACCTGATTCTTACGTACCGTATATTGACTAACAAGATTGGGCCTAGTCTAACTGGACTGTTCCATCCGGCTCAGATACTATCTCTTCGTGGTCACCCTCTGAAGCTGCATAAGCCCAGATCTGATCGCGTTAGAGCTGACTTCCGTTTAGCACGCGGGGTCATCTGACCATGGAACGCATTACCCAGCGAAGTAGCATTAGCACCAACGGTGAAGGAGTTTGAACATCGACTCGAAGCCCTTGGGTTGCAGTTTCAGACCTTTCCTTTTAACTCTTAACTTCTACAGCCATTTCCTTGACTTCTCACACCCATTACTATTACTGTCTTATCCACACGTTCTCTCCTGTACTACAGTTATCCTTATTGTTATTTTTTGTTTCCCTTCTGTTAGCCTTTATTTTTATTCACGTGACCGGTACAGCGGGGACTGCTAGTGCAGGCCGCGTGGGCATTGATTGGTTGACCGGGATGTGCTTCGTGTGCATCGATTTGGTTCTTCTCGGTTTCAAATCGCTCCTGCCAACTCCATCCTGGTTCATCGACGCATTGAAGAAGGAAAACACATGGGAATATTCCTACTGTTCCTGTCCAAATTGAACTTGAACTTAATTATTGCCCACATTCCCTGCGCCAGTATTCCCCGCTGTGTTAGTTACGTGAAGCCAGGAAAATGGAGAAATGGGAGATAAAGCGGCCGTTCAAGTCCAAGCGGGACTGGAGCGATAGGATTATCCCATGAGTGTTCCTTCTACAGCGGGTCATTGAACCAAGAGTAGGCAGTACTTGAAATACTGATGGACATAAACCAAAGACCGCAGTAAACTCTGTTCAATCAATTAGTGTCCACATATCCGGCCCTAGCAGTCCCTGCTGGGCCGGTTACTTGAAGTAAGAAAAAAAGATCTAAGAAAGCAAAAAGAGAAATTGGAAGGTGCTAATCAAGTAGCATACCGATATTTGAATCATTAAAAAGAACTGAAAATTGGAAGTGAGTCAGTCAGAGAAAAGGAAATGTTTGGTTTCGCCACCTAAGCGCATCAAGCTGGCGCGCAAAACCCCTAACGGTAGGTTCCCAAACCACGTGCTCTGGAAGCGAATTCCAGCGATCTATAACTCGGCGCGACAGGCGAGTTTCCATCCTAACCCTAGCAGACCGTGGTTTATGCAGTTTCAGTGGATGATCTAGGAGGGTAGGTAACGTAGCGGGACTAAATAACCCTGGTAAGTCCGGGCCGATCTTACCCGACAAAATACGATGAGAATCAGGTCCCCTCTTACGGTTTGGTAGTGCATTGCATACCTCCATAAACTGAGCAAACGTTCAGGATATGTCTGTCCCCGTAGACCTTTCACCAACCGAGTGCCCACTAGTAACACACGCGCTAAGCTCATGTTGTTTCGGATAAGATATAGTGAAGAAGCCTGGCTACAATATTCCGGGTGGGGTAGGACGAATGCCGAGAATAGCTTCACAAGCAAATTGGCCGTTAGGACCCAAAAGAACGGTGGCTAAACCACCCCACACGAAACCCCGACAAGCGGCCTTCTTCTAATTGTAGCCTTACTGAAATGCTGATGAGTGTACGACCCCTAAATCAACCTGCTGTGTGCCAACCGGGCGTTTAATACCTCCGTCAACACATCGTGTGGGAAGATAAGCTGTACCGATTCGGAGAACGGAGCACTTGATCATATTAATGGCCATCAACCACAAGGTAGACCATTTCCAGAGTCTATCAAAGGCACGCTGAATTGCCTCAGGAACCCCGGGGATAACCACAATATTCCGGAGCCTAAGGTCACCAGCAAAACTTAGTGATACCACTCCAAGCTCTCCCGGCAAGCCATGTACATAGATCGCAAATAACAATCGCCCCAATACTGAGGCCTGCAAGACGCCACTAAGGACAGATTGCCTGAAGCTCGCCTTGTATTCTAAAGGCGTGGGTTCGAGCCTGCGTAGGGACTGGGAGACCTTCGCAGTATCCTTAGCCCACTTGCGACCGGTGTTGGTTGTGCGGCAGCGAGGCGTCGATACTTAGTACCGACTTACTGCTGATGCCCATGCCATAGCATCTTACTGGCAGATTTGAGAGGCTCCCATCAAATCCGTTTCAGACCGGTAAAAGTAGTTATGAAATCACGAAGTTCTGAATGCTTGCTGGCAATGTACAAATGTCTGTGTCGAAATATTTGCTATCAATAAAACCTTATCTGAACTCTGCATTGATATCTGGTATGTCACCCAAAATAACAGGAGTTGCTTTCACGTTGACAACTATATTCAGATATTTTATTTGTGTATTTTCGGGATGTCTGTTACAATTCCATGATCCAAATGGTAGCCGCGAGGACTAATACAGAACCCAAAAGTTTGTTTAGGAAGAAACGCACGTTGCTTGCATGCGCAAATCGATATTTGTGGGAAAATCAGTTGCGTTGGCATGTTCCGCGATCCATCGTAGTGATATTCACACCTACCACACATCTGAAAGGCTCCATTTATAGCTTCCCATTTGTTACCCTCTAATTCGGGTTTACTTCTTTTTATTCAGATACCTTATTAATTCTCCACCAGGGAACTGCGAAGCTTCCACGCTCGTTGCACATCACAGTTAATCTACAATATAAGAGTAAACGAATTTTACTTTGAGAAATCCATGCCCGATCAATACGGGCGCTTCATTCCGATGTGGTGTATCAGGGAGAGAAAAGCATCACGTGGTTTGTACAGGAGTAGCTATACAGTGCTAGATCATGGTTTGTGAGAGTCGAAGCGTAGAGATATACGTTAACACTATCTCTCCTTGCTACTCCTGGGATTTACCTAGGATATGTTAGCTGTCACCTGCTGGTGCAGTGCAACCACGCGGAGTGCAGGACTACAGCAAAACAAATGATAAGTCCTTCTTTTGACACTTAAAGAACTAGCTTTTTATTGCCAGTGTCCATAATCCCATCAGATACTCCACAGGGCTCGTAAAATAACGATTTTAAACCGTATAAATTTTTATTTTTAAGTCATTGGCATGCATACAAATACGCGCACACTCCCGAAAGCGCAGGATTTCATAATAGAATGAGGGGTTGCATATGAAAGGAGTAATTCTCCGGATGAACAGAGTAGTAAAGATACCTGATGTAGAGCTGTTGGGATCAGCTCCTGTTTAGTTTTATGCCAGCATTCGTAAGACCACCTGGTTGCTGACGATTCGGTTAATTTCTGTTTTGCCTTCCGTGCAGCCTAGGCCATTGAGAAGAAAATAGGGGAGGATTAAAAGCGGTTTCCGATGGAAACGAGAACTCCGTTTCATAATTGCACCGACATACGTGCGGCTGGATACAAACGAAGGTGTGAAGTGAAGTTGTCCAATGGATGTACACATACATTCTGATATAGAAGTAAATGTGGGTAGCTCAGGTTACCAATCCCAGCGAACAGCCCACACATATTCAACCAGTTTTGCTGTGATCACAGGGGCAAAAGAATAGCGGTGCAAAAATGCTGGAGCGATTGAGTTGAATATGCGGTTCAGGCCTATCGCCTGTGGTTAAAACGAGATGTTCGTCTCTTGGAGCAGCTCCAAAGAAGAGCCACCAAGGCAACACTTGGACTTTCCAGTCTCAGCTACGATCTGTACCCTCGTTTACTTGGTGTGTTTTCCTCGGCATACGGACGGTTTCCTAGAGATCTCGTACTCACATACCGGATACTAACTGAAAGCGAGTACCCATATACATCGCTCCTGACCCTAGCCCCCTAGAACTAATACAGAGACCACCATCTGAAACTAGTATTGCAACACTTGTTAGAATTGTAGAAAGTATTTTTACTCTCTTAGAATCTGTTCCCACTAGAATGAACTACTAACACATGGGGTGAACGCACCAGACACAATGACATTCGAAAGACTTCTAGACTTAAATTCTAGTGGCAAGCGCTGTTCAACAGTGCGATAAAGTGCATCGTATTTACTACAGTTAAATCACTTCCATGCTGGAACATTTTTAATTTTCTTTTGCATTTTCTACCCGTTGGGTATTGTAAAGTTGTGTTTTTCACTTCGTCATAAACTATTGAACTATTATATTAGGTGGACAAGGATAAAATCTGTGTCATCTCTCTAATACGATAGCATAAAAAGAAGATGCTCAAAGGAGTATATGAGTCTGTGGTTCTTTACCTAGTATCTTGACTTTTTTCAGATCAAATTGCTAGCCTTCGGCATTAAGCAGGTCGCTCACCAATTCCGCTTCGAGCGGAGGGTGGTGAATATTTGGAACAACCTGCCTGCAGACATAGTCGAAGCAAAGTCGGTGTCGGAGTTTAAGAAACTCCTGGACTCGCACTTTGCCGACTTGAAATTTCGAGAATTATCATCATCATAATAGGTAGATTTGCTTGAAAAATATTAGATGCAGCTACACAGAGGTATCTCTACTCGATGCATTTTCTCGTTATCAGTATAATTAAACATCGTTTAGTAAAGCACTAAATACGGATATAATGCTACGGAAACAGAACTAATTTAGGTCTCATATTTCTTCATAACTACTAGGGCATCTATAACATACCCATGCGATGAAATGTGGTCAAGCATGGCATTCGCATCGAAACTCAACTCTGCAAAATGCACGATAATGCTGTTTGAAACACTATACAATCAGCAAAATCAATAGGACAAATTAACTAGTTCTAAAATTGTATTACACGTCAAGGAAAACAGTGAATATGAGAAATATAGTCTATATGCATAATTTCCGATTTGTGAGTATGGCCCGGGCGACTGGAGTATCTGTAATGCAGAACCAATATCTTATGTATGGTAAGTGTCTCATATTAAAGAGATTATAAGCTGTATTGAGCTTACTACTTAGGCCTCTGTATACCAGTTGGTTAAGTCGCAATTTATGGCACCTCTGTTGGCAACATAAACCACGTAGTGTAGGACTTAGGTAAGTGCATAAGCGATGCACTTTCTCCAGCTGTTTCATCTCTCTTTATGCTGGGATAAAAGATCGGTGCACAGCGGGCGCACGATGACGAAGTACAGATAGACAGAAAGTTCTTCAGACCAAACGAACATTCGGTTTAGTGACCTAAGCATGCGGATGCTGGAAACGTAGACATTTTTGTGTTGTCCGACTAAGTAAAATTATTCGTGATAGTACTCCAACGTTACATCAAAGCATACAAGCCGTCAATGGACACTAAGTGATATCACGATTGCAATTGCCGATGCTGAGTAATTCAGAAGTTTTATGATTAAAATGGAAGCGTTTAATTAATGCGCATGAAGGTATTTGATCGACAGAACATTTCCGCAGCTCTTCGACGGGTGTTAATATTTCCATCCAATCCTTTAAATCAACAACGAATAGTGCGCAGGTGAACGTCTAGCACTACAAAGGATGATTCTTATGGATATGTACACAATTTTGCACCACAGTCATACCTTTTTCTTCTTTCTTTTACTCCCCTTGTACTACGGATTTTTGCCTACACTCGCTTCCTCCTCAGTGCTGGGGCTTGCTCCTGTCTCGCTTCATTCATTCCTGTCTTTTTGCAGCACCTCGCATAAAATCCGCCGTTTCCAAGTTTGTGTACCTCCGGATATCCGCGTTTGATTCGACGCATCCTCTCGGATAAGTATTTACTAGTCCTAAGGATGTCAACCATCCTAGTATATCACTGATATAAAACAAAAACAGTATTGGACCAAGTACTGTGCTATGTGGCACACAAATAGAGATAGTAAACCATGATGTTTAGTAGTTATTGACCTGTACGTAATAATGGAGCACGTGCAGTGGGGGTTGAATTTAATTCAATAATTTCCCACTGCGTTAGCAAAAGCTTTCAAAGATCTTAATTCGCCCTGCATTTGTATCACCAAGACTGCCAGCAATAGGAAAGCGGTCAACCAAAGCATTCCAGTGATTCCTGCAAGCAGCTTATGAGGCTTTTTTAAAAATACACGTTAGCTATGGGTGGGAAACACCTCAACTACTGTGCCGCAGTACATAAAAAAACAGAGGAAAAAATTCAACAGAAGCAAGCGAGATGAGTTGCCAGTAACGCATGGGCATCGTTCCGGTAAGCTACCAACCGGCTACCATGGAGCAAAACATTACTGTGCAAAATTATATAAGGCTATATAGTGAGATCGTGCTTTAAGGGGGAGGCTAAGAGGGATGGAGTGGGACAAAGAAACTCACAGCATGAGCGCCACTGAGGCCAGCTCCTAACCAAATCAGCAAGTATATCCAGACAAACGTGTTCATCGTCTTTCGGACCCCAACCAGCGAGCCGAGACGCTCCAACCAATACCAGCTTCGAAGTGAGGGCCTTCATTCCTCCAGACCAAGTCATCATCCGCCGACCGCTCCTCCTCTTCCATTCACAACCTGCTCGCAAACAACACCTCGCGGGAGTCGGTGGGCTAGTATGCGTAACACGTGGCCGAGCCATCGGAGCCTGGTGCATGAAATAACGGTGCTGAGCAGTTCATTTCCTTTTCCTGTGTCGTAAACAAGGCGTCGAACACGCTCATTGCTTACTCGGTGTTCCCACCAGATGTGAGCCAAATTGCGAAAGCACCGTTGGTCGAACGTAACTATTCTCACTATGTCCGCTGATTTAAGGGGCCAGGTTTCACAACCGTAAAGTACAGTAGGGTCGAACGTACCGCTGCATTGTACACTATACCCCTCAGGGCGACAGTTATGTCGCGCCGGCGCCATAAGTGGCAAAAGTTAGCAAAAGCGCCTCAAGGTTTCGCAATACCGTTCGTGATCTCATGTGCAATTCCACGGGCGCTAATACAACTTCGCGGGTAGTTGAATTTTTGAACGACTTCTAGCTGACCCCCACCAAGGGTCAGCGTAGGAGGCGGTCCAGACCAAAGTTGGAGGAACGCTTTGCACTTCGAGAGTGCGAAGCAAAGCCCGAAGTGATTGACAGCCACTGATAATCTGTCCAGTGCAGCTTGGCACGTTTGTGAGCTGTCACAGATTAGGGCAATATCGTCAGTATACTCCAAGTCAAGAAGTCGTTCAACTGGGAGCAGATCCACACCTTCTAATGCGTGTCCTGTGAACGCGATTTCCATGATTTCGTCAATAGCGAAGTTGAAGAGGGAAGGTGATAGCGGGCATCCTTATCTCACACCGCTGGAGATATTAAACGGCGACGGCAGCTTTCAGTAAGCCCTCACTATCTCTGAGCTACGCGCGTATAATGCTCAGATAATATTTGCATATTTCTCAGATACACCTTTCCAGAGTAGACAGTCCCAAAGTGCACGTCTATCCGCCGAATCGAATGCGCCATTGATATCGAGGAACACGATAACGGTGGGCCGCTAATGTATGTGACGGTGCTCCAACAACTGACGCGAAGTGATGGTACGAAAATCGGTCACCCTAACAAAAGAAGACCAGCCATGACCCGGTAATATTGGAACCTTTGGAAAATCAGTGAGTAGCCTTAAACAGTTATGATCACAGTGCGATAATGCGTGCGCCATGAACCACGATTTATCACGGAATAAAAGCAAGTGCTTGCCACGTCCCTAGGATGGTTGGGGGGAATACGATGAAATCAAAATATATCTGGGTCATGTACCGAACGTCTGCCTAGATGTATACTTTGATAAATTACATCAGTGTAAAATGTTTAAAAAAATCGAGCGTAAACGTTCCGAAAGACACTGGGTTGCAGTGATCGTTGATGTAGGGCGTGGGTCCATTTGATACATAAATCCTGTTGAAAAGCATGCTTGGCGTAATCCACAATAGAGGAGTTTAGGTAACAAAATGCCGGGAGCTAAGAGCAATATCTAATCGTTTTTTGAAAACGTCCAAGGTAAGAGAGGATACAACTGTCTGGGAGTGTGTTCAAGGGTTGGCAAACCCGAAGGGAAAAGTTATTCCGTCGACACTCGAGTCCAATACTAAACTCGATCAAATTTTCCTGCGTTATCAGACGTCTGACACATAGATATAAATGTTGTGTGTAAAAATTATGGTACACATTGCCAGAAGGCGCTATTCAACCGGGTTATGCGCAGCAGCTTCATATATATATATATATATATATATATATATATATATACGCATCATAGAAACATTAACGTCTGTAACAAGATGCTGTTTACCAAATGCAAGTTCAAGACACTTTTCGAACTTAATGGACCTAGTTGATCATACAGATTTAAAGATTCCAGTTATCATCGTCAGATGATGCGAAATACCTACTTTTTAATAAATTTTCATATTATTCTAGCACGACCGAAATTGCGCACTTAGATATCACTGGGAACGTTTGATTGCACAAGGTCTCAAAAATGCTCGTCAGGTGGGAGTACTGAAGTACAAATTTGACACAG